TTAATTTTTTGTTTTTATTTTTTTTTTGTTATTGTTACCATAAACAGTAAACTGTTGTTTTGCTGTGGATTTTTTGTGCTATCTTATATTGTTGCTTAGTTTATATGTGGAGCTTAAGAGCCTAGTTTACGGTGTATCAAATTCCTATCACAAGAAGTGTGTGCATTGTCGCTGTGATGCAAGTGCAGCTTTAAATTTGATTGTTTTTGTTGTTGTTGTGCTGACGACGCTAACGACGSTGACGACACCGTCGACGTTAGCGACAGGATTCAGCAGCTGTATACCGAGGTGTGTATTAAAAATAGATTTAACGTTCTTGTCTATCCCTATAAATGTGCGGCAAATTTGTCGGCTCAGTTTACGCTTGGGTCTGTTGTGAGTGCGCATTTGTAAGTGTGCACTTACATACATATGTCGCACATATGTGTGTGTGTGTGTCTTGAATATTTGCTCAAGTCGTATGCATGCATGTATGTACATATGTATGTCCGTGTATGTATATGTGTGTATGCACATAAATCTGTATTTCATTTTATTTATCAATCACCGTTGCAGTTGTAATCTGGTCGTCCTATGGACGAAAGCTTTTTGGTTTTTGAAAGCTTAAAATGCAGCTTCTCAATTGCTCTAATTAAGCTCCAGACTCCATACCGATTTGTAGTGACATATACTCGCTCGTTTACAGCAAAGCGAGTATATTAGTTTGGTCAAATTTATTAAAATTGCGAATCAACATTTATTATGAGTAAACAAAATTTAATTTATTTAAGCAATTTTTGTAATATTTTTTATCTTGTAGATAAATGGCAGAAACAGATGATGTTGAGGAGGTGGGAAGGACAAATGGGGATCCGAGCCTACCGGCTAACATACAAAAGGTCGAGCAGCTGCGCGGCTGTGCGAGCTTTATTAGGAATGTGGTCAAGACCTATGGACGACAGCTGGCCCCGGAGAAGTACCGCAAGCTCAACATGCTCATAGAGCTGCTGGAGAGCAAGTAAGCGTAGACCACATAGCTTAAAAACTTGTTGAGAATTTTAATATACATTACACTATTATATCTTTATATACATATACATATGTAAATATTTTTATGGGCTAGGTTAGATAAATTTTAAGTTTCACATATTAGAAATTAGAAACTGAATCGCATATATTGTATAATTGGTTAATGAAAGCGCTTTGTGTTTTTAGTATACCACCTGAGGACTTCTATCGGCGTTATCCGCTGGCCAAAATTGAGGGTGTTATTGATAAGCTAAAGGCCAACTTTAAAGCGGTATGTAAACATAACCGAGAAATTTCTAAATAGGTCACATTTTTAAATGAAATATTTTCAATTTACAGCTGCTCAATGAAGAAGTAATTGTCATCGTTGATCATTCCGATGCTCCGGGTGACCAGCAACCGAGAACATCGAAATTAGCGGGAGAAACTGAAGCCAAGTCTAAAACAGCAAAGCCTGCAGCCAAGTCGAATAGTCGCCCAACGCCCAAGCTCAAGACTGTGCCCGAACCAAGTCCAGTTGTGGCAGCCAAGAGCTCAATAGATTTAGAGCGTCGCTGTAATCCATCCCGACCAAGTACGCCGGAGCAAAGGAGCCCACCGCCGCCACCTGTAGTCGTGCCCGCGCCAGTGCCTCCGCCAACGCTGGCAGCATCCACATTGACGAACTCGCCCAAGGCGGACTTCGAACGCCGCCCACAGCCAGCAAGAGCAACGGTAGATCTAACCTCACCCATTGGCAGTAGGCGGCCGGATTTTGTGCGTCGAAGTAATCCGCCAGCACCAGCGCCAGCTTCAGCAACATCTCCCATTTCACACATTAGTCCACAGTTGCTAAGCCCGCCTAGAGCGGTATTTGAGCGACGTTACAATCCGTCGCCGCCAACTATCCTGGAACCGAGCCATGAGGATAAGTCCCTGGAAGAGGCACGCAAAAAGCTGGCTGCTCTACGGGGTGAGCGTGACATCAATGTCAATCTGATGGCGAATGCGAATGCGAATGCGAATGTGAATGTGAATGCGAATTTAAATGCTCCGCATTTGGCCTCGAATTCCAATGATCCACGTGGACGCAAAACCAGCTATGTGATTAATCTGGGCAGCCGACGTACTGTTTCCAAATCGCCCACGCCGCCCGGCCCTGTCAATTGGCCGCAGACTGATCTCAACTATTCGGCGCTCAATATGCCACGCGTTGGCGTGGCTCAACCCAACATATCGAATATATCGAATACAACACCATTGCTACGCACACGAGCACCGCTAAATCTAAATACTTCGGCTGCAGCTGCAGCTGCGGCGGCTGCGGCTGCGGCAGCGGCAGCGGCCGCTGCAACCTGCACAAATGTTCCGCCTGTCCAGATGCCAAACATCGATGAACTGCAGCCAGCTGTGTCGGATTACAATGAGCCGCGGCGTTACCACGAATCCCGCGATCCGCGTTGCAACAAGTGGGTCAACAGCAGTAGCAGCAACATGCCTGGCCAACCGATGGGATCTCAGCAGCCAATGGGAGCAGCTATGGCACCTAATCAACAGTATTCAGGTGCAAGGTGTCATTCCATGCCGCCACAGGCTACGGGATATGAGGAAACTTCGTCGTCAGGCAACTGGCCGGCGCCTAACATTTATAACAGCAACAATAATAATAATAATAATAATAATAAAAATAATAATAATATCAACAGCAGCAACAACAATAACTTTAGCTATAACAACAATATGAACAATTGGTCGAAAAAGCAAGTTCATAAGAAAACCAATGTCAATTTGATATATCCCGCCGCCTACAATCGGGGACAACATTTTCCGTCAACCTCAACTCAGGCGAGAAAAAACGAACCGCGCACCTATCGGGAGCATCGAGAGGCTAAGGCCAAGGCTGCCCGATTACAGGCGGAGAAGCTCCGTCGTCTGGAAGCGGCTGAGAAGCCATTGGAGCCGGACACTCCGCCAACGACAATCGAAAGCGATCGCGTCCAACTGGACACATCGTATCGTAATTTGGGCAGCACTCCCAAAAAGAAGATCGATTTTAAGATACCCAAGAAAGTGAGTACGAACAAGTCTAGTGAAACGACAGGAGAGAAAAGAGATGAGAAGGCTGATAGAACAGATAAGTATGATGGTTCCCAAGAGATCATTTGTGATTCTGAGGAGAACTGGAATGATGAGGTGGATGCCGTTCAGGTATCAAGTGATAGTGGGTCATTGGGTTCGAAGCAAAAGTCAAAGAAGTCTGATAAGGCGGATAAGTCGGAGAAGCAGAAAACATCCGATAGGACTATCCAGGAAAAGACAAATAAAAGTGATAAAAGTGATAAAAGTGAAAATTCTGAGACAGCAGCTAATTCAAATAAAAGTAAGAAAACCGATAGCACGGATAGATCAGAGAAGTCTAAAAAAAGTGAGAGACCTGATAAAAGGGATACGGATAAGAAAACGTCGAACAAATCGCATAAAGAGGATAAAAAATCTCACAAAAGTCATCATACTAAACGCGACAAATCAAAACATCGTGATGAAAAAGACTTAAAGGATAAGGATAAGCGCTCGAGCAAGTATTGCAGTACACATACGGATAAGTGGAAAGACAAAGAAGAAAACCAACCGAAGTCAACGGATAATACGGATAATGTGGAGAATGAGCCGCCAGCTCATGAGGCAACAGATAAGGCGGCACGCAAAAGTGAAGAGCAAAACGGGGAAGAGATTGAGGCCGTGGATACGAAGGGTGACGTAAAAGAGAAAGAGGAAAAGGTGGTGAATGATGAAGGTGATATTATTGATGTGGAAGAGGTGTCAGAAGAAACGAAACCAAGAATCGAAGAACTCCAGCAGGCAACCGAGGACGAGTTGCATAAATCACTGCCCAAGCTGCCCAAGATAAAGGTGGTGCTGGGCCCTAATGCGCATACCATAACGGTAATACCTGGCTGCGATGGCGATGATGATACGATTGAAATGACATCAAAGCCCGATACCGGACCAGAAGTAGGTCGCATCGCGAAACGCCGGAAATCCGTGCTACCGTTAGTGAATACGTCGACAACACCTGACTGCGATGGTGACGTCGATACAAAGGAAATGAAGCCCGATGCTGAATCAAAGGTAGATCATAAAGAATCCATGATACCGGTAGTGGATAAAACGGTAATACATGGCCATGATGTTAACGACGATGAGATGAAATCGACGCCCAATGCTGAACCTGAAGTAAAGCGTATTTTGGAACGCAGGAAATCCATGATGCCGCTAGCTAGCAGGCCGTTGGTCGATAAGGCGACTCTGTTCACAGAAAGTTTCGTCTACGAGGATGTAATAGAACATCAGCGACAACAACAGGGGTCTACGCATCAAACGGATGCTCGTGCAAAACATCTGGCCAACATGTTTGAAAAGCCATCTGATAATTGCAGTATATCCACGCAAAATATAGTGGAGGGTAAACGACGATCGGGCTTTAATGATCTAACTTTGAATGAGACGCAGCTCAGTAGAAATGTCTTTAAAATGGCACCCGCTCAGAATACAAAGCCGAAGGCAAAGCCCAAAGATAAGGCAAAGGAGCAGGCTGTGGTGGTCACGAACAAAGATACCACCAACACCACCGCGACCTCTGATGCGAGCAACACCAGTACGACCTCCAATACTAGCACTACCAGTACCATTAACTCCACTGGCAAGCGTAAGCGTGGCCGACCGCCAAAGAAAGCGACTGAAGAGCATTCAGAGCCGAAATCAAAGCAAGAGGAAGAGCAGGAGATGCCTGCTGCGAAGCGCGTCTGCACGGATACACTGCCGCCTCCGGCACGGACTCGACGCAAAGCCAAGCGCAGCGAGCTAGAGAAACTGAACGACGACATTGCGCACATGTATTATGCTGATGATGTGATCCATGCGACAGGCAGACGTACCTGTACGACACAACAGAAGCAATCGATAGCGGAGAGTACCTCCTCCAATGTGTCCAGCCGACGCAGCAGTTGCAGCCAGAACAGCTCCAGCTTTGCCAGTCAAGTCGAACTAGCTCCCTATATACGGAATGTGGCGCGGCGTGGGCGTCGCTTTGCGGGCCCCAGCTCTGGCCCGGATCGGACCAGTTTTAAGGCCAAACAGAAAGTGCAGAATTCGGCCAAGCAGCTGCCGAAGAACTGTAAGGTACGTTTGCCACGCTGCGTCAAGCTAGAGCATTTGATAATGCAACAGGACGTAGTCAGTCCGAGTGCCATCAAGAATATCAATTCTGAGTGGCATTCGTTGTCCGCCGCGGTGAACACCTGTGTCGTTTGTGGCAAGACATTTCGCTTTTCCATGTCCCATTATGTGCAGGAACATGGCGAGCTTTTTACGTCTCGGTTTCCGCCCGGAGAACTGCAGAAGCTTCGCGATGGGCTACACACAAAACCGTCGTATGGAGTTCAAGTTGGCTACGTCCAATTTGAACACAAATGTCTCTTCTGCAACAAACAGATGCAGATCACAAGCAACAGCTGGGTGGAGCATTACGCTCGGCATACGGGTGAACATCACTATACGTGTTCGCGCTGCAATATGCCGAGTGAGCGGCCAAATCAGATAGCGCTTCATGTGGCCAAATGCGGAAATGGTGCAAAAGCTATTCGCGCCAATGGCTATAGCCGTTCTCAGCCGTTTAGGATTCATGTGTGCCACCTGTGCGAGTTTGTGCAGATGAATCGAGAGAATCTGGAGAAACACTGGCAGGAGCAGCATGGCCTCACGGATCAATCGTTGGAGGGATTGGGCGAAAAGCTCACACTGTACGACACGACGGATGTGCCAATTCGCAAGACTAAAGTGCCAGCAGGTCTCAGAGGTAAAAAGTCCAAAGAGCCGGGCGACAAGAAAATTAACAAAAAGATCGTTAAGAATCAGAAAATGTCAAAGAACAAGCAATTGAAGCAGAAGCAAAAGCAGAAACAGATGCACAAGAAGCTGAAAAAACTAGTCGCACTGAAAGTGGAGCCGGAGCCAGAGCCAGAGCCGGAGCCGCAGCCGGAGTCGGAGCCGACGACTTCTGTATGTGACAATGTCTTAAACATGCCGCCACCTGAGCTGCCCGAGGAGGATGACCTGGTGGTGATCAATGCCTGCAAGTTTGAGGAAGAGGAAGACCAGCAACCACAGGCGGTGCAAGAGCAAGCACAACCAGAAGAGCAGCGATCAGCCGAATCTCTGGAGCAACTCGAGCCACAGGAAGAACAATTGGATAATTTATCGGTTTCCGGCATAGGCAGCGAGAACTCTGACAATGAAAAGGAGCCCATCGAACCGGGGGAGCAGCAGCAGGAACATCAAGAGCAGCCGGCCAAGCCAGTCGACGAATGGGTCGATGTCGAATCCTGCAGCAGTGTCGGCAGCAGCAGTGCACCGTCCAAGTCCTTGTTCAGAAAATTCCATAAATTCTACAAGAAACTGAGTCCCGCTAGCAAATCGAGCAGTAAATCCAACAAATCTGCGACTAGCAGCTGCACCGATGGGGATTGCGCTGATATGGACTCTCTAGGAAAGTATGCAACAGGAACTACTCCACCGCCACCACCGCCAGTAGCACAACCCCTACTGTCACCATCGCCAGTAGTACAACAAGCAGAATCACCACCACCGGTACCACCACCACCAGTATCATCACCTCCAGTAGCACCACCATTGTCGGATGAGGCAAACGAGCAGTCAGCCTTGCCCACGGTTACGGCTGCACTTCCGCAGTTCAGTGTGGAGAATGTGGCGTATCGTTTGCGTGCGACACCGACACAGGAGCCCGCATACTACTGTATGCGTGAGGGCTGTAAGTTCCTATTCTCCGACGAAGTGGAGGGTCTAGAGAATCATTTCGCACGCGAGCATCCGCAGGTGCGTTGGAGCGGTTATTGTGCCAGCTGTGCGGCTCAGGCGACGGAGGAGACAGTGCAAGGACTTTCCATCAGTGTTGAACTACAGCATCTGGTCAGCTGTCATTTGGCGGTGGCTAAGGCAAAAACACCGCCACCTGCTGATCCCGTGGTGCCTAAGCTGCGAATTCGTCGCTTTACGGGCGATCGACTAGTGACTGACTCGGAAACCGTGCCGACGGTGGAACTGCAGGTAGCGCAGGGGCTGCTAATTCAGCCAGATCCCGAGCCAGAGCCGGTCGAGTCGGGAGACATCAATGCTGCTCCGAATGCCCTGATGCTCGATTTGTTGGACAATGAGCGAGCGGAGGCAAGTACAGTCACCACTCCAATTGCAGCTGTGGTCAATCATGATTCTGAGCTGGGCCTGGCCATCAATCAAGTATTTAGCCTGGCCCACAATGCACCGGCTGAGATCGTCGGCGATGCACCCCTGGCCAAAGCCAACTTTGTGCTCACCCAACAAGCAGCGGGCGAGTCACCCACCCAGATAAGAATATCAATTGAGCCTGTAACGGAGCAGCGTGCCACAGGCCTTGCTGTGGATCGGTTTCGTTGCATGGCCGCCAATTGCAATTTCTGTGCGCATACGGTGCTGCGCATACGGGAGCACATGAAGTTCCATAGCTATAGCTTTGGCAGCATGGACTATTTGCAGTGCGCCTACTGTTCGCACATCGCCAATGACGTCGATGACTATGTACTGCACGGCGTCGTCGAGCACGGCCTCGCCTCGCGCGCAGAGCTGCAGGAGACGGATGCGGTAAATGCTGCTGCGGCCGCAACGTCAACAAATCAACGCATTCGCGAGTTGCTCAATCTACGCAAGAATTCAAATTCCTTCGCCACAGCCACAGCCATGCCGACGGCTGCAGCTGCAGCTACGACGGCGACTTCCGCTGCAACTGTTGGGGCTCACGCGCCTATGACTTACAATGGTGCTCATGTACATAACCTGCCCATTAGTACAGTGCTAGACGATCTACTCAAGACAACTGGCTTCGATGGTAAGTAACAGGAATTTCTACCGAATTTATTTAGCTTAAGGAAAATTTAATTTAAGCTACGAACAGTAGGAAAACTTAAAGGGATTAAGCTAAGGTTTAAGGTCTAAGGCCGTTGAGGGATCTTAACCATAGGGATCTATTCAGGTATCTACAGTGTAGAGCTTTAATATTCAGAGGGGGGAGGGGGTAATGGCATCCTCAAATGTCTTGAATTGATCCTTCAAGCTCCTCAGTGAAAGAAAGATATTTTTTTATACCTTGAACCCATTGAAAATGTGACATTAAGGTATACTGAAAATGGATATCAAGGTATTGAAAATGGGATATCAAGGTATACTGCTTTTGTTAAATGTATGTAACCGTCAGAAGGAGGCATGGCAGACCCCATAAAGTATATATCTTCTTGATAAAGGCAACGCGCTGAGTCGATTTAGTCCGTCTGTCCGTATGTTTGAATGCGTCGATCTCGGAAGATATAAGTGCTAGAGACTTGAAATTTTGTCTTAGGTATATCTGTATATCACGCGCATATCGAGTTTTTCTCCGAAAATCGATACCTTTTCCCACTACAGTCGACTCTTATTATTTCGAACCTCTCATTAATTCAAAGTTACCAGTCAGTAATTCGAACTAAAAATCATTGCTAAGACGCGGTAATTCGTACTCATATAGTTAAACACTCGACAATTCGAAATATTTTAAGAGTCCCTTTAATTTCGAAATAACGAGAGTCGACTGCATTTTGTTATCGATTAAAACCCTTATCGAAAATCAGTGATAAATGTATATCTGCTACATCTTTGGAGCTAGAGTCGCCAAATTTTAAATGTAGATTCATATCTATATTATAGAATTTCATTTTTTGCTATAATTCTCCCCCCACCCTTATAGCCACCCCCTTACCCCTAAATTTGTAAAAGTCGTACCTCAAATTTTTGAGATTTGAGCTTTAGCAACTGCACTCATATTAATATTCTTATCACGATCTGCGAGTTACGTGAAGATAGTCCATCCACAAGACAGTTATTAAACAATTAGGTTCCCGTAGTAAGCCCACAGTGCAGCCCATGCGTGTTTATGCGTGTGTGTCCTTGAGTGTGTGTGTGTTTCTTGTGTAATGAGGCAAAGAATTATGTAGATATCTGATCCTCCAAGGATTCAGGGGATCTCGTAGTCGACTAGACCTTTCTTACTTCTTCCTATGAGCTTGAAGAAGCGATCTAAAACAATCTCTACTACGATACCATTGCAGATGGCAAGCTGTACGCATGTCCTTTAAAATCATGCAACGTTTCCTTGACCGAGGGGACATTTGTCAGTCATGTGATCTTTCATATGACAAGCAGTAAGATGATGGGCCAGCTCACTTGCAAACATTGTGCTCAGAGCTTCGAGCGTCCGGTCGCCCTGCGTTCCCATTTGCAGCAGGCGCACGCTCGCCACAAATACTTTTGCAGCATTTGCCTGGAGACGACGCCGAATCGTACATTGATGGACCAGCATCAGTTGAGTCGGCACGGCATAGAGTACCATCTAATCAACGGCCAGCCAGAGTTCCTTGAGCTGCCCGCACAGCCGGAGGAGCAGCAACAGGGCGCCAATCAGGAGCTGTTCAGGTGTTGGGTCAGCGCTGTCAAGCTGCCCTTTGGCAAGAAGCAAATGGATGAGTTCAGGAGTCAGCTGATGGACGAGTGGCTGCAGCGACGTCAGGGCAGAAAGACCATCTATCGACCATCGGAACTGCGCCTGCTGCCCCGTAAAATGACATTCAGCCAGCGGTTGCAGTGCGCCGAATGTGAATTCAAGTCGATCTCGTATAAGGAGCTGTACGGTCATCTGCTGGCGCACAAGGAGGCAGCGTTGCGTCTCGCCATGCTAAGTGAACAGTCTGGACAGTTAGCAACGACAAGTGTCCCACCGGAGGGTCCCACCGGGGCCACCGCATCGGTAACCCAAAGTTTCACCGAATGCCGCGTCCGTAATTTTCCGTACGTCCCCAATCGGGAATATGTGCCCCAGTCGAAACGGTTCGTCTGCGGCATGGAGGATTGCAATGTCCATCTGCCGACGGAGCTGGAGTTGCGTCAGCATTTTGCCACAACACACAGCTACAGCCAGAGCCTTCGATGTGCCCACTGCAGCAACACCCTGAATACGGTCGAAGCGTATTTGGATCACTTGCTGTATCACAAGCGCCACATCTATCAATGTGGACGCTGTGAGACGTTCCATCCGAGGCGCAGCGGCATCGAGCGCCACATCCATGCCCGCCACGGCAGCAATCTGATCAATGTGCTCATACACAAGCGCAGCGGCAACTCCGAACCCGACGAGATCCGCTGGCTGCAGTCGTGTAAGTATGGAAGGCTTTTACGATTTGCCGTTAGGTGCTAACACGCACTTGTTACCCTTCTTTCAGCCTTGTCCTTGCGCTGCAATTACGATGATTGGATCTGCAATCTCTGCTCCAGTGTGATGGATGACCATTTGGCGATAAAGGCCCATATGAAGGAGCAGCACGGACGCACGCAGCCGTATAACTGCGGCTACTGCAGCCTGGCCGACAGTGGGATGACGCCCTTAATCAATCACATACGGCACGAGCATCCCAACTGTCGGGTGCAGCCGATTGTGAACTATCAGCACTCGAGGGTGAAGAACAGGCAAACGCTGGGCTTCTACTGCACCAAATGCGAGACTGCTGCGAAAACCTTACAGTGCATTCGCAAGCACTGTTCCCAAAGCCATGGATCGGGCCACCAGTTCACGTGCCCGCACTGCGAATTCGGCGAATCCACCGAGTGGTCGGTTGTCCTGCACATGCAACAATCGCACGAGGGTGCCGCAGGGCTGGCCGTGCAGATGTTCGAGCGGGTGCCCAATGAGCTGCTCGATAGCGATTACTGGCAGATGGCCCAGCCACTAGACACAACGAAGTGCAGTCAGACTAACAGCAGCAGCAGCAGCAGCAGCAGCCAGAGCAATAAATTACCCACAATCAGCAGCAACATTAACATTAAGAACAATAATAATAACAACGACAGCAACATCATTTCAAATGAACCCGTTATTGTCGACGCGATTGAACTGCTGTCGTCCGACGAGGAGGCCGATGGGCAGGTAAGTTGCAGCGCTAGATAGATCCAAAGGCCATAGCTAATCGTATTATTATTTTGCCTTGCAGACAACATTCGAATTCGCCTGCTCGCACTGCACCGAAACGTCGTACAGCGTGGACGAGCTGCGCACCAAGCACTGGGCCACCGAGCACATCGAGCATCCGTTCTATTTCAGCATCCAGCCGCAACTGCGCTGTGGCATATGCCGGCAGTTTGTGGGCAATCCCAAAGCCCTGCTGGACAATCACTTGCCCAATGTGCACTCGTTGCGCCAGCTGGTCGCCTGCGATGTGGCGAAGCCGAACGAGTGCGCCTTCTGTCCGCATCAGTTCACCCACTCGGGGTCCCTCATACAGCATATGCTGAACGAGGCGCATCTGTCCAATGACCTGAAGTCGCTCAACAACATTCAGCTGAGCCGTCTACTGAAGATGGGCACCAAAACAGAGGCTTATCCCGTCCGGTACTACCAGTGCAACATTTGCCGGGTGATAATGCCGTCGGATATGGCGATGGCACAGCACGGCCGGGTCGAGCATAGTGATGCGCCGGAATTGTTCTGCTTCCGCCAGCTCAACGAGGCGGTCATCTACCACTGTTCGTTCTGCATGTTCGCCTCGACGTGCCAAAAGGAGACGCTGCGCCACATGATCGACCACTACAAGAAATTCAGGCAGTGCCACTTCTGCAAGGCCGCGCTGAACGATGGCTTCGATGAGTACATGCACCATTGCCATACCTTCCACCGGGAGGCTGTAAATCGCTTCCAAGAGATTCACCCCTACGAGCAGCTCAAGAAGTTCCTCATGCAGGTGCTCTATCAGTTTCAGAACGGCCTGATCATTAGCAAGAGCAGCTTGCGGCACACGCTCTATCGCGGCGAAGAGCTCATTTTCAAATTGTACTCCGAACTGTTGTACAAGTTCCAACAGCCACCCACACCGCGAATATTCATAAATCATCTGCACAATCGTAATCCTGTGATATCCACGCAGCCGCAGCAGCAGCAGCAGGAGGGGATGGTGAAAATAATGAGGCGACGCAAGACTCTGAATCCGGATGATTTAAGCACCCGATTGAATATCACTGCCAACTTGCAACAACAGCCGCAGCAACTACAACAACACCAGCCAGAACAACAACAAAACCAGACAGAACAACAACAAGAGCAGCCACAGCGAAAGCAGCAGCCGCAGCAGCAGTCGCAGCGCGGCTCTTTCATCAATTGGCATACATCGTTTATGGGCACCAGCAAAGCCACGCCCACTCCGAGTGTGCCCGCGGCACAGCCGCAGCCGCAGTCGCAGCCGCAGCTGCCTTCGCTGCAGCGCATAGCAAAGCGTCGCAGCACCTTTGTGGACATCGGACAGCTGAGCATTAAGCGCATCTGCCCCGCCGATCAGATGCCCTGATCGCAGTCAAATCGAAACTATATACGAGACTGCCTCCAGTATTCGGCCCAAGCGCAACATGATAATCCTATTTTGTAAACCTAACTCGTAACTAGCTTGTAGTAAATGTTGAATTCCAATGACAGCTAAGTGGGCTGTCGCTGTTAATAAACAAGAATATTGAAAAACTTTTTATAAAAAATTTTAAAGAAAACTGCCTTATTTTACTCTCTGACTGGAGGTAGTAATTTAAGAGTTGTATATGGTAGCCAGGCGATGCGTAGGGGAGGAGACGAGAAGTTACTACATACCCTGTAACTATGATTGCTCGTAATGGACAATGACAGGCTCTTTAGCGAGCCAGAGAGAACACTACAATCCTGGAAAGACGCAGGGAGTGATGAATAATGTTGCTCTCGAGGCAAAGAAGGAATCCATCATTAACCTTGAATCACATAGAGCTGTCCACGCTTCGTTATCAGTCAATCAATCACCTGTTCAAGCAATCAAGCAGTCAATCAGAGCTTTGCTTATAAGCAAATCATTTCAATTCAGCGAAAATTAAGTCTAATTGTAAACAACCAGCTATCATCTGGTCATCAATCAATCAGTTAGATTGACTGACATCCATCAGTGGGTTAGTGGATCAACAAATATGCTCCATTCTCTAACGATCACTTGATTAGCCAATCAATCAGTCAGTGAACCAATTTGTTGTACAATATAAACGATTCAGAGTCGTATACCAATGATTGAAGCTATGACTTGAATATGAAATTATCATGCAAGCAATTGGTCAGTCAGTCAATCATTCAGTCAAAGTTCTATACTTGCTGAATCAATCATATGGTAGTATATGACAAATAAATACAAATCTTTTTTACTAGCTGTGCGCCGCTTGTCAATGAGTCAATCAATCAATCAAYCAATTAATAATCTAATATTTTATAAGAAAAAAAACATGCTTTACTTAAAACTACATCTTTCCAGACTTGCTTCCTCTCAGTCACGCACACAATCAATCATCATATATGTATGTATGTATGTATGTATGTATGTATGTATATATGTAAAAAAAAAACAATTCTCTTTCATAGTTCTCTGTCAGCGTCTATTCTCTTTGCAGGCATGCTGATACAACAGCTCATAGGTGGGCGCCTCCTTGCCCTGGCTGCGGGCGACGCTGGCGCAGCGCAGCTGATTGAAGTACTCGCAGGGCGTGGCATAGGTGATCAGCTGGTGATCGTTGCGTCTGGCGCAGACGGGGCGGTAGTAGCGCGGACAGCTATACTCGCAGTTGCTCTCATCCAGGCCGACGGCCTCGATGTTGTCGCCCTGTGGCTGCTCCTCCACGGAGTCCTCCTCCGCCTGCTCGTCCTCCTCATCGTCGGGATATTCCTTGTACTCCTCCCACTGTCCGCTGTTGGGCTGCAAATAGATGTCCTCGCTGCCAGCTGTTGCATAATCCGCCAGCTCCAGCTGCTCGTCAGCCAGCACCAGGCCCGCCCGCAGCGCCAGCAGTGCCATCAATAGCCAGGCTGTCGTTGGTAGCATCATGGAGTGCACCGTAATCCAGTTGAACTGTGCCACCAATCTGCGGGTGGGTGGCGTTTTATAGACACCGCTTGCTGGCCTACAGTTGTGCAAACAAAGAGCTCCAAATACATGGCTCTGGGGTATGCCTGACTAGCAGATATCCCGCTGCGGCTGGAGTAACTGCTCTATATGGCTTAGGTGAATAAAGGTCTCGCTATACATACAGAGGCCGGCTCAAAGAAGTCCTACATATTAGCAGGTAGATATGTGCACGACTACCAGATACCCTGTTGCAGTCAGGACTTTACATTTTGCCCGATATTTCACTAAAATTAGCAGTATAACATTTACACAATATACATGCTAGAGTAGGGCAGTCAAAAGTGATCGACCCATAGATACCCTATCAGTAAAGTTGAGCTTTTCGCTATATAGAATGACACCCAATTTGTAAATGATAAAAAAAGAAAGTTGATCGATATTTATCGATATTGAAAATCTGTTTTAGCTATGATAGTAGAATGTCAGTCAATGATTGTATGCGAAATACCAGCTGAGCACTTGAACAATATACCCCATTTGTCGAGCTTTCAATGGGCATACAAAAAGAAAGAAAAGTTTGGAGCACAAGCCAAGAATTCTTTTTGGCTGTCATTGTTAGATAAATATTCAAATGTGAATCAAGGTCGTTGCCGCCTGACTGATAGCTACTGCTGGTGCTGCTGCTGCTGCTTGCGTCATTCCAGTTATTCCAGTCATTCCATTAAGTTAATCAAACTTTGAAGGCAGCCCAAATTGAAATTTACCTAACGGAACTGGACTTACAATTGAGCTAGGTTTGCTATGCGGACTGCATTGAGCGAAAGAGCCTAGTGTTATCCATAGATCATACATATGTACATATATGCAAATGGATTATGATTGCAGATAAATAACTTTAGAATTAAAGATAAACAACGATATTGTTGATATTTTTCAAAATTGATTCATAAATTTGTTTCATTTGTTCGTAAATAGAAAAACATTTGTGTAAATATTTGTAAATTTTATAAGACTAGGCTTTTGCCTCTTGAAAGACTTGGCATTAACAGGTGAACAAAATTGACAAAAAAAAATAATAATTATAATAATAATGCTGTTCTGAATTCTCATTCTGGCCTGATAAAGATCAATGCCTATATCTAAATTATTTTCGAAATTTGCATATTTCCTTTAAGTTGTGGGGCATCTTATCACAATTGCGTTTCGTTTCCAATTGTTGCTGGCATGGTAATACGAGTGTTCCATGTTCATATGTTTCAATCGAGCTGGCAAGGCGACTGGAGGCACTTAATGTTTCATTTCAAATTGTTTGTAGTTATAAATGCATAATAAAGCTATTGTTTTGATTCCAATTGTTTCTATAAAATACTGAATTTAAAACTACTTCGCTGCAATTTCACTTGCGACACGTTGGGAGACATATCAACCGTTAATATACAAAACAATAAGCTAGTGTACCAATTCCATTCGTTTCCACATGATTGTTAACTGCAGTTCGGAACAGGCGGAACAAGAACATAGAGCATATAATATAGAATGCGATAAGAATGCTTTAGATAGCGTGCGGAACAATGTGAAACGAGACTGAAATGCTGATAGCAAGTGGAATATGTGAATAGGGTATATATGTACATATGTACATACATATATTATACTGATTGCAGCTCATATGTGATCCATGTAGCCCTGCTCGAAGGCGTGACGCACTATGCCGAAAATCTGGCGGTTCGCCTCATCTCCGGCTATGTCCATCGACAGCTTGTAGAAGGCCGGGCCATGCATGTCGGTTTCGAACAGTTTGGAGAGCTGGGCGCAGTCAGCCTCACTGCCCAGCAGCCAGGGCATGAAGTGCATGCAGATCATGACGCCATAGAACGCGTAGCGTGAGAAATGTTGCTCGAAGCGTGCGAAGCTGGAATGGGATTTTCACACGGGATTGGCTGTGAGCCGATGCCATTCTATAGTTAGCTAACAATGCGCCCTACCTGTAATCGCTGAGCAGCTTGTTGATCTGCTCCTCCGAGAGCGTTTCATGATTACGCTGCAAGAGCAGCTCCAAGGTCTGATGCATCCGCTGATGATACGAACGCAAGAGTTTGGCAAAAATCTCAGCTCGATTCTCGGCCGGCGTATTCATGTACAGGAAGAAGCTGATATCAATGGCCGTGGTGCTGTAGCGCAGCTCCTGGAAATCAATCATGCGTATGCCATCCACACGCCCCTCTTCGTTCTCGTGGAACAGCACATTGTTGCGATTGAAGTCGCCGTGCAGGAAGGTGCTAAAATGCGATTCCGGCTGCGTCTCATCGCACGCAGCTGTGCGAATGCGCTCGAGCAGCTCCACCGGCTGCTCGAAGTACTTGGCACGCAGCCGCTCGATGGCTTCGGCAAAGCGTTGCTCCTGCGGCTGAAGCAGTTGATCGCGGCAGCGATCGTAAAACTCGTAGAAGCGATCGAAGGCGATGCGATAGAGCACCGCATAGATATTCGGCACGTTCGCCTCGAAGACGAAGGGAAGCGGCACAACTTGCTGGCGCAGGCGCTGCTCGACCTGCGGCTGCAGGATGCGCAGCGCGTAGCCCATGGCGTGATATGGACCCAGAACCGAGCACATGGCCTCCAGCTGATCCAGGCGCAGAGTGAGTCGAGGACCCAGCTTGAAGCCTTTCGGCTGCAGATGCTGCAAAGCCAACACCGACTCACGTGCCTCGCCCAGATCTGAAAGTTGTGAAATATTTGTGTTAATTGCAAATGGCAAAATTGACAAAACAAACAAACAAATAAATAAACTTTGTACCCTTAATCAGACCAAATTTCGCGCAATAAACACGCGGCACAAATTGCTCAACCAATTCCGTATTTAATTTGCTGTCACGCAACAAATTCTCATAGGCCGGCAGCAGTTCGGCATAAACAAAGACCTCATTGGCGAACTGTGTGTAGCATTTGCCGGACTCGCGAAACTCCGGGCTGCCCTTCATGAACTTCACCAGCACCAGCTCCTGGCGCTCGCTGCAGGAGAGGACGATGGCAGTTAATAATCGTATGGGCAAAGCATAAGATTCGATTGTACCCACTTTCCGGCAATCTCCATGGTCAGCTGCACCGTATAGACCGCCGACATGAAGCCATCGAGGCCACTGGAACACTTTATATTGTGATCTATAAGCGTTGCATCGTTGCCAAAATATTTAAAAATATCATAAACCAGATATTTTTCCATATAATCGAAATGTTGCTGTTGCGTTGCCATCTTTGCACTTTCTCTTTGCCTGCACTGCGCTGTTCGAGTGGAGTTAATGGGGCTTTTATAGCAGCGGCTCCTCAACTGAGCTTAATTATCTCGAGAAGACACACACACACATCTAAATATATACATACATATATACGATATGTTTACAAGTGCAATTAAATGCGATCGCGACTTTTTATTTATTTGAATTGAAACTCGTTTTACAACATTGCAGCGAACTGTATCGTATCGTTATCGATAGACGACAGCTGGTGGTTGGCGGCGCGCCAAGCGGTTAAGACTTTAAATGTTAAACATTAAAACACAAAGCTATCTAACAAGTTAAATAGTAAATAAACTCATTTTGAAAATGCATTTATGTGGATGTAATATATGTAATTTGGTTGATACCTTAGAAAATAATTTGTTGTATATATATATATACATATATAAATACTATTTGTCTTTTATGTTTGGTCATGTATAATTCATAATTTAACTCAAGCAATAATTAACAATAATTAACTTAACTTTTTCCTTTGAAATAATTTTTTTCACAAACTTCTTCTCAATTACGGTTTACTTTTAATGAATTTATTTAATTCAACATTTTACAATTTACATTGCGCGCCGTCACATACATAAACAAATATGTGTATATCGAAATGTGCGGCATATCGATAGGACGCGTTGCAGTCCTGGCAAGCACAGTTATTGGCAACTGCCAGCCCTGTTCTTGTGGAGTTATAAAAATAATACAAAAACTGTTCGAAATGAACGAAAATTCCTAAAACAAAGTATTGGAAAGTAATGCATTAACTTATACACAGTGAAAGACATGTGCATTTCTTATAAATAAGTGGAAGCAGAAATTCATCATTTAAAGTGAGTTCTCAAGCGTCGGGTGTGTTATTTTATTATTATTTTTTTTTTTTTGGGCGCAGTGTTGACAGCTTATGATTTAAAAAGGAGAGAAAAGAAATGAGCATACAATAAAAGCGGCTCATTAACCATCGGCTTTTAGCCGCTAAGCAAATGTAGTTAAAAGGGGACATGTGTGCGGCGTCCAGTTAACAACACTGGTGTAGCCAGAGCCCGGTTGCCAACCAAAACCAAATAATAAAATCAAAACAAGTATACAAGCAGTGTGTATAAGTGTGTGTGAGTCTACGTGCGAGTGTGTGCGTGTAAACGCTTGGAATCGAGCTTCAAAGCGAAGCATGCAAATAAACGTTCTGAAAAACAGAAATGTAAGCGCACACTGACCAACACTGTCGCTGTTCTCCTTGTGTCATTTAATAGCACTGCTTCGCAGAGTATTTTTTTGTATTTTCACTGGCGCTGGTATTTTTGTATTTTCCATTGCTCTTCATTTTCGTTTTGCTCTTTGGTACGTACAGACGTGTAAGCGCGCGTTTTTCCGTCGTCGTCGCTGTTGTCGTGATTTCGTCTTTTCGCGTGTGGCAACAAACAAAATATTCAGTTACATTTATAAATCAAATCAAGCAAATTACATTACTAATAAGCTTCTAGCTTTACATTAGCTTCAGCTATATTTCTTTATTTTTTTTATATATTTTTTTTCGTCGCTTGCGCATGTTTTAAGCGCTGCAGCAGTGGCAGCAGCAGCAGTAAGAAAGGTTGGTGAAAAAACCGTCGTCGTCGGCTCGTACTCGTTATCGGCTGCCGTCGTCGCTGCGCCGTTCCACCGTTATACGAACTGTGCGTGCGTGCATTGGTGTATGTGTGTGCATTTATTTTTTGTTATTGTGCTGCGTTTATTTTTTTGTTTTTAATATAATTTTTTGTTAAGCCAACTGAAGTTATAAAGTGCAGTATTATAGACGAAGAAAAAGTTATCGGAAAATATTTGCTGTCTCACATTGCGTTTTATGTCTGTTTTTATGCTCATTTCTGTGCGGACTTTTTTTTTCTTTTTTTTTTTTAGTCCATCTCTGCTGTTGCGACGCGCTCTTTTGTTAGCCGCAGCGTCGAATTTCGCTACCTCTGTATGCGTGCGACAGCGCTTTTTCCAACTGTTTTTTTTTACAGTGTGCTAAAGTTATTGTTGAATATATGTTTTAATATCTCTCCTTCTCATTCTCTCTCTCCCCCATGTGTGTGTGTGTACATGTTCCTTTTTGTTCTTCATTAAACGTTTTCAGCTGCAAGCAACAACAAACGTATAAAAGAAAAGAAAGAAAAAAAAAACAAGCAAAAGCAAATTTGTATACATACATGAGTATGTACATATATATTGTGTGTGTGCGTGTATCTCTCTGTTTGTAAGCACCAGAGACAGAAGCAGCATCGCCGTTGTCTTTAGCTTCAAGTGAAACATGTTTTTTTCTGTGGCGCTGCCGACAGAGACAGCAGCAACAACTCAAACAAAATTGACAACAATTTGTAACAACAACAACGTCAACTACTACAACGACAGCAACAATAACAGCAGCAGCAAGCAGTAACAGTCAACATGTAAGTGTTGCCTTTTATTTATGCATGTATTTATTGATATGCACATATGCATGAGTATGTGTGTGTCTGAGCGTGAGTCGCAGGCAGTCAACAGCATCAAATTTGTTTGGTTATGTTGAACGCGTTACCCGCTGCTGCTGGCGTCAACGTCGCTGCTGGCGTTGCCACCGTGTTACATTTTGCGCGCAGATGGTGGCAGCGCCGCCGCCACCGCCGCCGCAAACATATTGGATTTGCCGGCATTTTCTGCTTGTACACCTCTCTGTTTCTGATTGGGAAGGCATGTGGTTTTTGCGGTGTGTCTGTGCATGTGTGTGTGTGAATGTATGTTTATGTCAGGTAGCAACATCACACACTCATACAAATGCTGGCAAAAGGCAAACAAGAATTTTAAAAAGCCATTGACGCCGCCGCAGCAGCAGCGCTGCGGGCAGCGCTGTATGACAGCAAGCACACTTACACACACATACGCATGTGTCGACAATCATGTACAGCTACAGCGCGGCGCTCTCATGCTTTTTGCGACTGTGACTGCGACGCTTCTACTGCAGAGCAAGGTGAGCAGCACCCGCTGTTATTTGTTTTATTTATTATTATTTTTTTTTTTTTGCTGTTGATAAAATACATTTTACTAAATTGTTGATTTTACATATGCAATATGTTTGCCACGCGCTCGCCCTTTCCCTCTCTCTCTCTCGCTCTCCTCGCTCTCGCTGCATTTTAATTACAATTTGTTATTTGGCAAAAAAATAATAAGAATAATAAAAATTCACCAACAAACAACAAACTCGGAGCGAGAAAACAATTGAGAGAGAATGAGCGCACATTGCGCTTAGCTCACTTGCGCGCATTTGCTCGTACTCTCTCGCTCTCATTCTCATGCACTGTTGCTGCTCATTTGAACAGAAATTTTCAACAACGCTGCCGGCAACAACAGCAGCAGCACAAGCAATAAGTAGAAGCTTGCGCTCTCGCTCAATCCTTTTTAAGGGTAAGGGCTGGTCAGTGCTGCTGTTGCTGCTGCTTCTTCTTCTTCTTCTTCTTCTTCCTGCTGGCTGCGACGGACAGCACAACAGCTGGACGGAAGCGCATGTGAAAGGTTCCAGCAGCAGCTGTTTGCCAATTGGACCAATTGGAACGATACATTCAGACAGCAATTACTATTGCATCTGTGTTCCATTATATGTCATTTCCATTTCGTTCCTCGTTAATTGTTCTTTTACATCTACACACTCTACTTGCCCTTGTAGATTTGTTTATTTATGAATTTCCATTGTTATTCCTGCTTCTCGTCTACTTCTTTTGTTGTTTCTTTCGTGGGAAAACGCTATAAACATAAACAAAAGCGCAAATCACAATTGCAAAAAATTATTGTTTATTCAGGAATCAGGTGCATTTCCTTTGAATGAGCGAGAGAGAGAGAGAAGAGGAAACTCTTTTCGATTGTTTTTTCATGGTTATAAGCGACTTTCTTCGATAGAAAATTATATCAAATATAGAATTCAATATAGAATTGTGAACCCACACATACAAATATTTTATGATGAGGTCTATAGTCTGATTAGGCTTATTGTGAACCCAATTGGATCATGTTTTGTTTTAGTTCTGACAAGAGCTTATTTAAAAGTGCTTGAAAGCTGTTTAAATATAATAGTGCTAATATATTTCCTTAATGATTTTCAAATGTCATGTATTATTTTGTACACAATTCCATTAGGCCTATGGCATATGCAATTATATATGTATTTGAAGAATAAGTTGAATATGAAACCTGTTTATAAGAGCTTTAAGCACATTGTTTATTAGCAGTCTGAACTGAATCGCGAGCAAAAGCCTCATTTTTATTGCCATTTGTATACATGAAATTTGTTTAACAAACTATCAACAAATAATGCACCGAGATCTTCAAGTCTAAGATGATATAAATGGAAAAAATATAGATATATACATATACATATGTTCATAGAGATATATGTAGATATATAAGAGCTAAAAGAATATGGTTTCAGACCAAAACGGATGCTGCTGTCGACGTCGACGTCGTCGCAACTGCGCAGTCGGAATAGCGCCGCTATCGAAAGCGACAGTTCGGGCCGCCTTCTGCTTGGCCTGAACTGCGGCACACGCCGCCTGGTAGGCGGCCTCCTTCACCTGCTGATACTCGTCGCGGGCGCAGATGATGTCCTTCTGGATGCGCTTGGATCGGTCCGTGGCGGCCATTAGCATTTGAAGCTTGTCGCTGTAGTCGTTCTGGGCCTGTTCGTTGAGCGCATTCACATCGGCCACGTTCCCGCCCAGAAGCTGAACGATTTCGCTCAGTCGAGCCAGATCCTCTTCGGCCTTTTTGGCAGCACACTCGGTCTTCTCGGCGGTCTTTTCGCTGTTGTACAACGAGCTTCTCAACTTGCCCAGGAGATCATCGGCGGCGTTCAGCTCCTTTTCGATTTTTTCCAGCAGCGCCCGCTTACCCTCGAGCACAGCCTGCACGGCCTTGGAGGCCTGCACCGCCTTCTCGGCCAATTGGATGCGTACTTCTTTGGCCGCGCACTCGGCTGCATTTGACTGGGCGTCATTTGCAGCTGTTGCTACCTGTGCGGCTTTTACCGCTATATTGGCGGCTACCTGTGGGCAGTTTCGATTGATACTGGTACGACATGATGTTAATGACGATGGCGAAGAAGATGATGATAATGATGAGGATGAAGACGAAGATGATGATGATGATGATGATGATGTTGGTGCGCCTGGCAATAGCAGCAGCAGTTCCTTGTTATCCAATTCATTCAGTCGACTGTAGCTTAGCGAAGGATTCCAGCTGCAGCTGCAGGTGCAGTAGGGGATGAGCAGAAGGCAAATGAAAATTAAATTCATTTTAGAAGAAATCGATATATAAATGCGTATAGATTATTATACGCCTTTTAACACTGTTTTGGTTTAGTGCCGGCAATTGACATTGATATCAAATGTGTATAGATCATATGTATTGGACAATAACACTGAACGTATGAAATGCTCATTTATGGAATTGATTGATTGTAGATATAGTCGTATAGACCTACTGAACAAGATTCTATATACTTCATAGGAACTACCGCGCCTTCTGCGGAAAAAACCAATATAAACTGAATTCGCATTTTCAATGGATTTATCAGCCATTTATTTATCTGTCTATAACTCTAAGCAACAGAGTAAGAGAGAGTGAGAGAGAGAAGGAGATGGGTAGTGTTTCAGCATTTAGTCGGTATTTTCTTCGTCATACTATTTATTATTATTGTTATTATTGCGCAGCAATTGCTGTGCCAAGTCAAATAACTGTGAATGCGAAGAAGACAACGGCGCAGCAGCTAAAACGTGAGTGATAGAAACAGAGAGAGTGAGAGAGCGAGAGGAAGAGGGCGGAGTAGGCTTTATACAGTTGAATGCTCAATCAGTCAAAACTGCGGCGCCGTTTTCCACGTGCAGCCGCTGCTGCTGTTATTGGCGGTGGGTGGCGCAGACTGCAAAAACTGCGCCAAAAAAAAAAAAAAAAAAAAAAAAAAAAAAAAAAAACCCCAACACACTGGCACGCATATGTACACTCGCACAAATGCATAGATAGACATGCAAAAATAGCCGCGTCATTGTCGTAGGTAATTGAGGAGGAGGTGAAAGTAATTCGCAGAAGCGCAAATTGAAAAAAACGTAATTTCTTTTGTTGTGTTATTAATTCTAATCAGGCGCAGAGAGCGAGAGAGCACGAGCACTGTTAACTGCGTTATGTGTGTGCACTTTCAAATGCGTGTGTAATAAACCTTAATAATAACAACAATGTTCAGCAATAATAACATAAACATTTTTCTTGCAAAGTCGCAATTTCGTAGCACACGGCCGAAAGAAAGAGAGAGAGAGAGAGAGAGAGAGAGAGAGTGAGATAGAGGGAACGGGAATGAGAGAGCTAGTCAAAGAGTCGGAAACTGTCTAATTGGAATTTATTCTGGTTGCGCAGGCAGCGCGCAATTGCGACAGCAACAGCGACGCTTGCATGATCAGACATGTTGCTGCTGCTGCTGCTGTTGCTGTTGGCAATTTCAATGCCACTGTCAAAGTTGCGCGACGGCGTCATTGATGCACGCACGCACACACGCAAGCGCGCCCCGTTAGTGTTTGTTGTTTGCTTTTTCGTGCACACACGCATACACGCATGCAAGTAATGAGTGCTCTGTTGCTGTTAATAATCGGAAATTATCGATAAATATTTTTGAATAATTATGCACTTTTATTTTTTAATATTCGCAATGCATTCCCTATCTCGTTTTATCTGTGTGTGTGTGTGAAACAGAGGACATTGCTGGTTTTGGAACCTTTTTGTCTTCTCTGTGTGTGTGTGTGTGTGTGTGTCGCTTAATTAATGCTTATTATTTGTGTTATTGCGTTTTAAGCAACAAAATGGCAACTCGATTATTGCGTTGACCTTGTCTGTATGTGTGTTTGTCAAGCAGAGGCATTGGCAGCGACGCTGTCGTCGTCAACTTTGAGGGCAACAGCGACTGCGCCGCTGAATTCGACGCGGCGAAATCGGTCATTGAACTTTGAACCAAACAAAAGGCGAGAGAGCGTATGTATAATAAACGTAGCGAGAATGTAAATTTTGCCGTTCATATATGTATGTATATATATTTATATATGTACATATATGTGTGTGTGAATGCCAGCGGGCATTCCGTTACGCACTTAACAAAAAAAAGAAGATAAATAAGAAATGAAAGAAAATTAAAAACGAAATGAAATGAAAGCATTTTGCTGTCTGTTCTCTGTCTCGCTCAATCGTCTGCTCTTCAGGCCATTTAAGAAAATGCTTTCAAAAGTGCAAAAAAATAAATATAAAATAAAGAAATGTTTGTGGCTAATCAGCAAGAGCAACGCGCACCGAAAAACGCCTACAAAGTATTTTTGGTGCCGCGCGCACCCAAAAGCGAAAAAACGGGAACTCTCTCACTCACACACACACACACAAACAATGACAGACAGACACGGACGCAGTCACAGAAATTTATTAACTGTTGCGCAAAAGACTTTCTAACATTTTAGCGTATACACCGATACTTATATGTGTGAACTATGTGTATTAAATTATATTATGTCTGTTTTTGTTCAGTTTTACTGATTTGTGTGACCATCAAATAGAAGAAGAAGCAGAAGTAGACGAAGTAAAGTGAAGCAGCAATGGCGGCTATTTGGGTCACGCATGACGCGCGCGCGTCTGCGACTAGAGCATGCGTCCATCCGTCTAAGAAAGAATAAAAAAAAATAAAAAAAAAAAACACACCGCAGTGTATAAAGTTAGAGAGGGAGAGAGATGATTGTCTGTGGCAGTGGCAGTGGCAGTGGCAGCGGCAGCGCACAAATAGTGCTGATACACATAAGCTAGAGCTAGCCCCAAATAACCAGAAGCATTAAAGAATGGGCCACAATAATCAACTGAGTCAAAAAACCGCATATTTCTTTACAAATGTTTTAATAATTTTAATCAATTCATTTATTTATACGTACATATTGTATATATTTGAGTTCAATAGAAACGGGTTTTAGCATAGAAATAGAGTAGTTTTTGCTTGCACCAAATAGCTGAAAAATAGCCAATTGAGCAACACTGATAGCGCCAGGCTGCCTGTGCGTGTGTGTGTGTGTGTGCAAAGCGAAAGCAGTATGCGCTCTCTCTTCCTCCTCTATCTATATATCTCTATCTCTCCGCTGTGTTGACGTCAAACACGACTGGATCGCTAAAGTTTTCTTTTAGTTACAAAAAAATTAAATAAAATGAAGAGAGAGTGAGAGAGGAAAGGGAACAGCACTGGCTGTAAGCGACCACCCACCAAATGCAGAGTTGCCAGCTGCGCGTGAAATTTAATTGGCGCGTCGTGTGGGATTCTGCGTGGGGGCTGCTGCTGCCGCTGCTGCCTTTGATTTTGCTCGTAGACCAAAAATAAATTATGATGCATGCGAAAATTTGTTGCTGCCTGGCTAAAAATAAACACGCACACAGGCACACGTACATATATATCATTATTGTTAGTGTATGCGAGCAGTTAGTTAGCTTTTGATCGGAGTATTTGCTGCTCTTGATTGTCGGTACATTTGTGACGTCACGCGCACATCGGTCACAAGCACAACTCGTGCAATTGATAAGCAGCAGCTGTTGCTGCCTTGATGGGAATGCGACTAGTTTTGATTGATGAACATACTCTGTGTGTGTATGTGTGCGTGTGTGTGTGGGCAGCATTCGACAAGTTTCATGTTATAGTGTCAGTGTCAGTGCAGCCAATTAGGCTTTTTTTACAGTCATTTCTAGCTGTTTTTAAAGTAAATATTAGTTAATTAAGGTTTTTATTACATCAAGCTCGAATGTAAATAAACAGATTTAGCTTACTTTAGAAGTTGGCAATATTATCTGCATGACTATCAAATAACATTTGGTTTGGGTTTGCTGTGACGCATACGACAAACTTAATTTTTTTATCGGATTGTTTGCTGTGTGTGTGTGTATTTATATATATATATGTATGTTTGTATATATGTACATATAAAAATAACTTATTTTTTGCACCGTGTGAATCAGAGAAATTAAAAAGAATAATTCATGATGGAACTGGTTTTTGGCTTGCACTGAACTTGTGCCGGCTAACTGTGTGTGTGTGCATGAGTAATGCTCTTTTTTTTTTGCAGGAGCAGAAGCATTTGCAATTATGTGGCAACACTGTTCGTTCAATTTGCTTGGCAACAGTTAGCGCAAACAAATGCCAAAATATATACATATATATCACAATAACAATAACAGCAGTAAATGCTTAAAACTTGCGGTCACTTTCACCGTAATGCGCCGCTCTCTATGGTATGTTTTGACTGCTAAATACATTAAAACATTTGCGCACACATTTTAATTAAAAAGCGCAAATTTTGCCTGGCAACAGGCGCTTAACAGCTGTCTGCTTATAGCAAAAAGCTTTTAGTCGGCCAGCAGCGCTGCCCTGCCAAGCTGCGCTTTCTATGAATGCTGCTGCCTGCCGCTACTGTTGTGTGCGTGTGTTTGAGTGCGCGTGGCGCTCAACTGAACTTGTTCGCTGCTATTAGAACTCACTCTCTCACAGACACACATACATACATGCATGCTGACAAACACACATGCGTCGCGTGTCGTTCGTTCACCTGCTGCGCTTGCCAAAGAGAGAGAAAGAGAGACGAGTGCGAGTGTGTCAGTGTATGTGTTTTGTGAGCAGCGCGTGTTTTTCCTTTATTTGGTTTCTTTTACACATTATTTTTTTTTTTTGTTATTTTGCGCCGCGCAAAATGTTATTGAATTTTGTTTCTTTTCTTTATGCGCTATTTTGTTGTTGTTGTACATTTAACTGTAAACGTGATCTTTATAAAAATGTCCAACTAAGCTTTTCTTTATTCTGTTACTCTTTGCAGCTCTCCAAGACGACATCAGCAGCAACAATAACAACTACAGCAACTACAACAACAATTGTGTTCAGTTTATATATATCTACAAATAAAAAATCGTGCGTGAAAATGTTTTTTGTTGTGTTCCGTTAATTCGCTCATGAAATGTGTGTTCCCATGCAAAATGTGCAGAGCAGTACTTTGTATTAACAACAACAGCAACAACTACTACATATATAATATAAAGAATAATAATACAAACCGTTTAACGACAACAACAACAATAACTTAGATACCACAAAAAAGCAAAATAAATTTTTTTTCGTTTTGGCATTGGCCATTATCTGTCCGGCCTGCTCTCTCGCGCGGACGTTCGTTAGGCTCGCTCTCCCTTTCGCGCGCGGCTCTCGGTGTTTGTGCGAAACAAAAAACAAAAACAAAGAAAGGAGAGTGGGAGAGACCGTTGTTATTTTTGTTGTTTTTTTTTTCGTTTTGCATTATTTTTGGGCGCTTGCGCGCATACACACACAAACAGAGCAGCATAGTGTGGAAGAGAGAAGAAGAGCGACACAGACACACGTGCGCGACGGCAGTGTGTRTGTGTGCGCAATGGATTTGCACATTGATTGCAAAAATATGAACATATGTGCGCGCGTGTGCGAAAATTCGTATCTGTGTGCGTGTCTAGTTGAAGAACGTGAAAGCTACAACAACCATTAACAATAGTGTTTATAAACATTTATGTCTGTGTGTGCAACAGTAACAACAGCAGTCACATAACAGCAGTAGCATTAACATTAACATATGTGTATGTTAACATCAACATAACATTAAAAGCAAAACCCAAACAAAAGACTTAAAAAGTGTGTTCATTACTTTAAAATAAAAATAAAATAAATAAAAACGAATATCAAATAATATATAAA